GCCAGCTGAAAGCATTCTTAGTCTTTTACTTTCAAAATAGCTTGTTTCAGCACTGAAGCCATTCCATTTATCATTTCCCACAAAATGCCCATATGCACCGTTTGCTTGTGGTTAGATACATTGCATTCTACAAAATCTGAACTTCAGTGCACTTCAAATGATTTCATTTGCAAAAGTTCTTAGTGCACTGGGTGGTTTCTGAGGTACAAAAGATGAGAAGTGAAGAAAGGAACCCATTCCATTAAGATGCAGTACTGTCTTATTTTAATAGTATGTAATGTTCTGAAAGCCTCTTTCCAGTTATTTTGAGTCATGGGCCTAACCAAACAAGCATGATTCTTTTTACCTTGAACTGTAGTGCAGCAGCATTGAGCTAATATTTTCCCCCTCCTAAGTGACTGAGCACTGTTCCTTTAGACAAAGGAGAAATAGTCAATTCTTTTCCATCTATCCTGGGGAGTGCAGGGAAGGTATGAAAACGAATGATAGACATATGTGTACAAGGTTATACTGCCATCGAGAGGTGTCTAGTGATATTGTGGTTTGTTTGGGGTTTTGGGGGGTTTTTTTAAAGTCAAAGTTGTCACTGAAAAAGTGCAGAAACAATTTTCCATTAAAAATATATTATCCTGCAATACAGAATGGATAAGGCACCTTAACTGCTGTCGTGTTGTGTGGTCCTTGAGTCCTGGAACCATACGACTTTTAGACTTCATTTCACACTAAAATGAAAGAGCATCAGGTTGGAGGGTTTTTTCCTAATTAAAAATATAGACAGATGTTGTAAACTTAAGCACTTTTGTACTTTTAATAAAGTGCTGCATTGAATCTTTACACATATACCGTATTTTGTAGAAAGTTTTACATGTAGTTTGTTTTAAAGTAGCCTATGGGTTTTAAAGCACTGTGGACTAGCTGTTTGTTTATATGTTCATGTTTATCCTGTTCAAGGAATGTGGGAAGCTGCCTTCTACTGAGCTAGAGCTTTGGTCCACGTACCACAATATTGTACACAGCATCATCTAGCAGCAGATCTCCAACCTTTCAGGCAGTTCTCAGCTCTTCATCCAGATGCTGGGGAATAAAGCTGGGACATTTTGCAGGGAAAGCATGTGGTTTGATGCTGAGCTATGCCCTTTTTTTAAATCCCACCATTCCTCAAGAAGTGCTGAGTTGCATCTTAAGCCATGCAGCAACCTGTGAGTCAGGTTAGGCTGACAGGTTTTGACTTGTCCAAGGCCTTCTAGTAAGTAAAGCCATCTATCCTGGTAATAAATAAATAAATAAATAAATAAAGCATAGTAAGATTAAAGTCGAACAGAGATTTGGACCTGTTTGTCCCAGACGCAGCACGCTGCTGTACAACATTGCCAGAAACAAAATGTCAGCATTGGCCAGTGGTACGGTGACATATCTTACTTCACTGCAATGAGATTGAGAATATAGAGAAGTTTTAATTTTCCTGCACACAATATAAGAATACCACCATCATTTTCCAGTATCACTTCTAGGTTAGTATTCACTGATAACAGTTCTCTAGGGTTTCAGAAAGGGAGCTTTTAAAATTCTGCCTGAAAACCCAAGAACTGCCCCTGGAATCTTTTGATGTACTACACCTTTGCTTGAATATCCAGATCCTTCACTTTAAGGTGGCCTTGTATGTGACAACTTGTCTGTTTCCTGTTGGTGATCAGGAGTTTTGGACAGGATACATCCACCATTTCCCAAGGCCAGTTTTTGATGGGGCCCAGAGCAGTTCAAATTGCCCAGTGTATTCACAGCCCCAAATGCTTGCCAGTCCCTGCTCCATTCCTTCTCCACCAATCTGCTTGCTAGAATGTCCTTTTGTTTTTACTAGCATGTTTCTTCATGCTGACCTCAAAGAAAGAGACCTTCCCTCCTCCACAGCCAGTATGGAAATGCATGGTACATAGAGCACAATCCTATGCATGGTTAAGCAGGAGATAAGTGTTACAACTTCCAGCATGCTGCAGCCAGCATGGATGTAACAGAACTTTTCCCTGTCTAAACATGCATAGAATTGCAACCCCAGCCTCTTAGTAGGCTAGTAAAAATGTTTTACAGACTAGTTGCATCTGAGGGTTTATTTGAAATGTCATCATAAAGGGTTGGTAGTATCTGGATGGTATATTGAGCTGCCTTTCTCATTGATACCATTTTGTAAAAGTCATGGCATGCAAAGAACGTTTCTTTAGGACAACCTTGTGATAGTTGACTTTCCAGTTTATAGAGATATTTTAAAATAGCAAAGAACTGAACAGTCTTATTCCTCAAACAGTTTTTAAACTTCAATTTGGATTTTGTTAGGAGAGTTCTTGCCTTAATTTTTTCAGTATATGGATGGTACCCACAGTTGCAACTCATTAAAATAAATGGAAGGAAATGGCTAATCGCATATCAATTGTGGAAAATGCTAGAAGATGGTGGTCCAGAGTGGACTTGGAGTTAAGCTTTAGTCTGGAGATCAGAAGCAAATGACTTGGCCTCTAATAACCCCAAGTAGTACCATTGATTTCAAAGCATTTTAAGACTGGAACAGTCATCTTTGCCTCGTTAACATAATCCATCTGCATCAGATTCCCTCTGTGTGCCCTGAGGAAATATTTATGAAACCATGTCTGATGATGCACAGAATAGATACAGATTAACTTTAAACATTTTTCAAAAGCACTAGCTTTTAAAATTTAAAAGTGAGCTCCAGTGTGGCATAGTGGTTAGAGCAGCCTTCCCCAACCTGGTGGCCTTCAGTGGCATCTGAACCACAAGTCCCAGAATTCCCATCCAGGAGGGCCGTTGACTTCGAATTCTGGGTGTTGCAGTCCAAATATGTCTGACAGGCACAAGGTTGGGGAAGGCTGGCTTAGAGGGTTGAATTGGGACTTGGAAGATCTGGATTCTAGTCCCTAGGGGGCCAAAGAACTGTCAGGGTAAATTTGAACCAATCACCAGCTCTCAGCCTAACCTACCTCACAGTGTTATTGTGAAGACTAACTAGAGAGAAGGACAGTGTAAGCCACCTTAGGCACCTTGCAAGAGAAAAAAATGAGACATAAATGTTATAGCTAATGAAATTATTGGCAAACATAAGCAGTAACCTTTGTAGAATTAATGCAAGAAAACCTGGTAAACAAAAGAGGCATTTGCAGGTTGTGCAGAAATGTGACTGCAGGGTGAAATCCAGTTAATGTCCCTTTGCCCACAGAAGCCTTCCATCAGTGGAATGGGAATGCGCTGTACCCCTTCCCCACTTGCTTCAGAGGGTTTGAAGGTCTTCTGAAAGAGATTGCAGTGAGGAAGGGACTGCTGGGGGAGGAAGGAGGGGAGAGGCCCTCTGATGTCTTTCTGATTTTCTTACTCTGTAGATCTGTAGCTGTGACTGCTCAGGTGGGGCTCTGACTTATCGGCTATACTGTATTCTATTCCGTCTTGTTCCTTTGATCCTTTCTGAAAAATTACTTCACATCCAGACCTGCTCCAACAGAGCATGAAAACAGCTGTTGCAGAGCTAGGTTTGCCCCCTTCAAAGCTCCAAGCAGGAGCATGTTACCTCTGCTGGAAACTGGGTTGCATGTCCTTTCCCCTCTAGTACTAACAATCCAGGTACTTCTCAGCACTTGGTGTCTAGTCTTGGCAGCTGCAGCATCCCATTAAAAGATGGATCAGCGCTGTAGCTAGCATTCTAGATGACTGGAGGTTGTGTGGTTGAGAAAGAGAAGGGGAAAGTAATATCAGTGAGGATCGAGGCTGTTTTCTTTTCCTGCCAGGACTACTGATTTGTATCCCAAGCCCTTCCTAATAACCATACATAGGATTAGCTTTATTAGCTAGGTACTTTAGTCTGCCAAAATGTTGTTGTTTTAAGGGCTGTTGGCAGTTGTTCATGACTAGCTACTTTCAGTAAGTGGCCAAATCATTACTGATGGTTTTTAAAAAAGAAAAAGTAAACTGAGTTGTTAAAGAAGTCTTCATTTCTTGATTGAGTTCTTACAGTGCTATAGGGAGAAAACTGAACAAAATAGAGTTGCGCATAGAGAAATGATGTTCAAATCAGATTAGCAACGACTAAGTAAAATGCCATTTGAGGATATACAAACTTTCAGTTCAGTAACTTTTAAAAGCAGAGGAAATTAGTTGTTGTAAATACATATGTTCCACAGCACTTTTTGTACAAGTGCCAAAATTGGGAGGCAAAGAGATTCTGCCAGACATCTTTATTTAGCAAAATACTGTAGATGCTGCCAGACCTCTTTTCAGTTTTTCTATTTAGTTAATAATTCAGTTTTAAAATGTTTATTACCTGCTTCGCTCTACTTTGGCTGGTTCACATAGCGGAAGTAGATGTTACTGAATGTTTCCTTTTAGCAAAGCTGTATGTTACTAAGCTGTGGGGCATTTTATCTTCTCAGTTCATCATGTCAAAACACCTGGTTTGCACGATCAGAATAAGCCATCATGGTGTAGTTCTTATAGTCATTTCATGGGCACAGCTTGTATTATCCAAACCCAGATGGCACGATTTGCTGAGGTGGAAGCAATCTTGCAACAAAGAACCACCCCATGGCCGGTTGTCGAATGGCCAGTCGTTGAGTTATTGGAGTGTTGTTTATAGCTCCAACATGCCATGCTGCCCAGATTTGGAATAACACATGTAGCCACATCCAAGTAATAATTAGTTTAAATGAGTTTAAATAAGCCTCAGTGGTGTACTTTGATCATGTGAACCAGCCCAGCAACCTATAGTCCATAAACCAATTATACTTAAAAGGCCTAATTCTCAGCAATTCAACTTTCAGTGCAATCTGCCCGGCAGTGCAGTTGTGCAACCTTTGTTCATCCCAACAAAGTGTGAACAGAAGCCTTCTGGAAGCACCATTAAAGCGAATAGAGACTGTGCACATAGAGGTCTTGGAGAGTAATTCTTTCCTCTGAACTGCAGAGTGAAATGTTCTTACACTGTTGTTCCTTGTTTTGTTTTTCAGGCTGGAGGCTCTCAAGTGATTTTCACAAATCCACTAGAAATTGTAAAGATTCGTTTGCAAGTGGCTGGAGAAATCACCACTGGCCCACGTGTTAGCGCCCTTACTGTACTACGGGACCTGGGATTTTTTGGCCTTTACAAGGTAACATCTTCTGGCTGTAAGCTTTTAATTGAAAAGGATGTGTTTTTGAAATGAGTTGATTTCATAACATAAAAGGGAAGATTATAAGGGTATCCTGAAAATAGCCAGTGTCCAAAACACAATTAAATCAGCTCAGGTCTTGGCAGCACAAACTGTAAGTGCTACTGACGTTTCTTTTTGAGTTTCTGTCCCAGTTGCTTTCATGGTTGAAAAGACTAGTCTTTTTCTAATTCTGGAACTTGCTAAGAGCCCATTGATATAAGAACAGGCCATCAGTATGATCAAGCCACACACACTCTTGTCAGTCCTACGTGCTGCTCCTTAGATTTAAGACAATATTATGCCTTGATTCTAAATGCCTATTAATCTCCTGGGCATCTTGTCTGTCTGCATGTTCCATCTTGCAGTAGTGGTGCAGAGTAGGCCTGTCTTAGCCGACTGAGTTGGCTGCTCTTTGCTGTCACAGCTTCTCTGACTGCCGTTGGTTCAAGTGCTATCACATCTTAGAAGTTCTGGCCAGTCTTGCTGGACCAGGCTCCATGCACCTTGGGGAAATGAACTTCTGAACTTCAATGATCTGTTCTTGGAAGCACCCACTTGAATCCCAGCAGGGTTGGGAGGCTGCTTCGAGGTAGGGGTGACACGGCAAAACAGCAGACATGGAATGAGTTGAGGGCCCCTTCACTCCCACTACTTTCCTGGATTTGTTGGAAACAAAACCAACACCACCATAGACACCAGCAATCACAACCATATCATGGTGTATTAGTGTGTTTTTCTTAGAGTCTGACATTGAAGATCTCATAGTGGTTAAGAAAATAGTGCTGAGTGTATTGCTTTTTGTGCTGGTCATGTAGGTGCTTTCTTGTCGTGTGCTTTCTTCTGTGGCAGTGGAACCACTCTGCCACTACAAGGGTTAATTTTACTAACAGGGAATGTTTTTATGATGCTGTTCTCCTCCCATTAGTGGTAAGTGAACAAATGTGGTCAAGAAAACATTCACCCATTTGACAAAGTAGCTATAACTACTGTTAATAAATTCTTTCGTGGCTTGTCATGTAAACACATCTGAATAGAGTTAACCTTGGAATGCCAGCATTGCTATGGATGTTGTCTTACAGTGATCATGTGCAGAGCTTCACCATTTTTATGGGAGTCAAGGCTATCTGAATTTTTCTGTTGTCATCACAATGAGGAAATCAGAACATGTCAGGTGAGGTGAATAGCTTAGGTGACTTTTTAGTCTAGAGAGCAGCATGTGGTGCTAAATAGGAATTAACATGGGGCACTTCTTTTCTCCTCTTCTGTCCCCAGTTAAATTGTTGTTTTTTACTTACCGTATGGCAGCTTATCTTCTGGAGAGGCTCCATTTAACTTGGATTGCAGTGCTACCTCAGGACAAGTATTTACAAGTAAGGCTATGAAGGCTTTCAAGGCGGATAAGAATACTCAGTCCCAAGACATAGCATCTTAATTTCTCTAAAATACAACTGTAACTTTGATACTATGCCAAACTAGAACATTAATTTAATTATATCATTCTGTGGTTGATTAAATCCATTCTTGCTTGTTCGTTGTTTTATTATTGAGATAGTATTGTTGTTCACAGCATACCAGAGTCATTGCGAAGTGCATGAACATCATTAGCTACAGGTACTTTGATGGAAGACAGATGTTTAATTCAGAAAGTCAAGCTGTTATCCAAAATAGTGCTGCTCTGATCTCAGCATCCTTTAATCACAAGTGTAATACTAGTTGAATGTTTTGTGCTGGTTTTTCTTTCTGAGACAAGCTGATGCAGGAAGCAGGCAGACTTGGTTTGGATCAGGGCCTCAGCATGGAGAGGGGGAATGTCCAAGCATGACCCCAAATCTATCATGGTTGGTTAGAACAGGCAGTGCAAGGAAAAAGACCTTGAGTGCTTCCATGAGAGAAGGCATAGGAGAGTAGAGAGAAGGGACCTGCAGCATCCTTCCTGTTTGGGATAAGCTAGCAGCCATACAGATAGAAGGAGGACATATATCATGTTGGAGAATGTGAGGCTGTATGCATCCTTGTAATGGGGCTGATGAAGATGAGGTCTTGGAATAATGCTGGCTAAGTAAGATATGGGAACAGAGTCGGCCTTTGGAATTGTGTGCAAAAAGGCAGCGGAGCATAAGATGCATGCAGCATTGATTGTGTCTTTCTGGAGAATAGCCAGTCATGGCTCTTGCTTAGCACTCTGTCTTCTGCCCAGTCATGTCGCTACTGCAGAGATGGGGAAGGTACTGTGTGTCAGAACAAACGAGCAAAGTATAAAAGAACAGTTAAAATCTCTATGTACCTCTGAACATTTATGTATCTTCATTATCTTTTTGTACCAGTCAATATATATTTTGGTACATGAAAGTAGGTTGCATAAATTCTTTGCAAGGTAGTACATGTTAGAACGCATATTGATGCTTTTACGCAATATTTGCATCTTTTCATGGACAAAGCTTGTTCATCATGGAACTGTACTTCCTCTGTCCACTTTTAACCATTTTTAAAAGAAAACAGTCAATTGCAGCTTGAATTCATCAGAATAGAATCGAATAGAATGGCTTGTACACAGAAGCAAATTATAGCTATGTAGTGTTAGCCTGTGTTTCTTTTAAAAAGGAATAAATATTTTCTAATGTGAAAATAGTAACTGAAAAAGAAACTGTTTGTTTGCATATTTCCGTTTATGTTTGTAGAGGGATTGCTTATGATAGGTGCTTTTGTTAACAAATCAATTTGATGAATAGCCATCAAGTATTCAGGGGATTGCCATTCCTTTTTTATTCTGTCTTCTGAACAACTTCACTCCTTTGTAATTTCCTCTATTTCCCCAGTTATTAAATTCAGTGTAATTTTTCATTAGAAACTTTTAAAAAATCACACTGTTAGAATATTGGAAAGGGATAAAGAACATTTCTAAGGTTAAACTACTGTGTGTGTGTGTGTCATCCTTATGGAATCAAGGCAGCAAGCATGATGCAAACTCAGGGAATATTTTTAAAATCTGATGGCGTGCTATTTTATAGTATTCACAAAAACTATTTTAATGATGTATATTTTGGTATTTAACATTGTTAGCATTTTTTGCATGAAAGTATAATGTGAAATATATTCAGATTATTTTGGAAAAATAGATCAGTCTTGTTCATTTTCCTTATGTGATTTTGGTTTAGAGAACAGTATTTGCTTAAGTCCTTTTGGACTTTCACAGTTTAACTCTTTTCAGTATTTAAAGCAGGAACAGAGGGGGGGCAGTCTTGTTTCATGCTGAACTGCCACCCAAGACTCATAAAACCTTTAACTGGGGCTTCTGAAGCAAGCCAAGGTGAGATGGAGGAGAATGGGGCTATTGGGGTGGGGGGGATGTTGCTGCACATCCGAATCGGAAGGGTTAAGTTGCCGGTGAAACCCAAGAGGAATGCTAACGGATCAAGAAATGACATGCTTCCTATTGTTTGTTGCTATAGGATCAAAATAACAATTATACATGCCAAATAAATTCTAAACCTGTAAGGTAGAAAAAGAGGAGATGGCGGTAAGTACAGGTGCCAGAAGCATTAAATAACCCTCTCAGACAAGGTGCACCACTGTTGTCTTGAATTCTGCGAGGTCCCCCCAGTCTGGCATTTTCCCCCCTACCCGAGACAATGTGCATTCACTGCAGGAGACGAGGTTAAGCCTGCCTCTCCCAGACCTTCTGGCTCCTGGTGCCCAACCCTGACACAGAGGTGCCTTTGTGAGTGTAATTACCCTCCCCTTGCAGGAGAAATAGTTTATTTAGATCCTTATTTTTTGCAGGTAAGGCTGCAATAAGCAGGAATTATCATGCTAAAGAACCTGCCCCAGCTCTGACTTCTGAGTTGATTATCTGAATCTTCTGACAGTCCAAGGCTCTTTTTCCTCTCTGGGTTTGTTTGCCAAGATACAATTCCAAGATTAAAAGCCTGAGGGGTTATTTAAAAGATCTGAATGAAGGTGAGGAGTCAATTAGCAAGGATGGTAAGGAGGGACCTGCCTTGGTGCATGGGCCCTCCCCAGGTATGCCAGGCCCACCGTTTCTTGCCTCTGCTGCCAAAATCAACTTGGGTAGATTATTGTAGCAACTTACACAGAACTAAACTTTTAGGGTTTCTGCATAACATACTACATTAAAGATGTGTGCAGAGAAAAGTAAGGCTGCAATCCAGAATGTGCTGATTCTGAAAAGTAATTTCACTGAAATCCATGAGAATCTGTTTCACATTGAATTTGCTGAACACTGTCGAGTAAATGTTCCTTTGGCATTTCAAGATACTTTGGCCCTTCTCCCTTAAGCCTTCCTAATTGGCATTAGCTGGTTGCAGGTGATTAACGTTAGCGTAAATGAGGTCTGCCTTTAAACATGTTTTCCCAGACCTTAAAACAGAGTGGTGAGAGGAAACTTTAGATTGCTGAAATATTGGAACAGAGCCAGAGTTAGTGCTTAATAAAGTGGATCCAAGTTTTGATCCAGCTTTGTTTACACATAAGCCAACTAAGTTTGACAGATACTTTCTTTCATGAATTGGAAAACATGTTACCAGAGGAGCTTTTAAAAATACGTCATTTCCATCTTTGGAAAGAGATTACTGTAAAAGTGCGAAAAAGCCAGCTTAAGAGCTGCTCCTACATTCCACTCATTTCTTCAAAGTAGCTGCAGTATTTTGTCATTACTTTATTAGAATGTGTGTTCTGCCCTATTATGGAGGCAACAGGGGAGATGACATGAAGGGTGTTTGAAAATGATACGTAATGATTTTTACAGCTTTCTTCTTCCCTAATAAACCTTGCTAAATCCCTACCCAAGTGGAGAAAGAGAGAGATTCATGCTCAGGCTAGGGCTTCGGTGAACCTGCATGGCCAAGTACACCATAAATGTAGAGAGTTTGCGGAGAATGGCTGCCTATATTCCTGTGGGGCATAAGCAGGACACATGGGGGTCCACACTCTTCAGGTCTTTTGTAATCCTGAAGTATAATGGAAGCAAAAGGCATGAATGGAGTAAGGCTATGGGAGATCTTTCAGCCCTTTGGAAGAAGTAATATTTGAGATAAAAGTATGCTGGTTCATCTCCAACTTCACCTGCCAGAGACTAAGCAATGCTTAAAACTGCCTGCCAAGTAACTTTGTAAGAAAGTTGTTCCCATTGGAATGTGCCTGTCTTGCGCAGGCTGCCGCTGCCAGCAATCCTTAAGACAAGTCATTGTGAATCATTGCAGGGTTGCTGCAGCTTCGCTTGTTTGCTAAAGCCCAAAATTAGGTGAATATGAAGTTTCTTACGAAATTATCGAAATCCATCCTATAAAAATAGTAAATTCATTCTAAGTCAGGATCCTCATATGGCCAAAAGAACACTGTCCACACACACAAGAGGATGGGCTTGGGCTCACCCCAGTTTTGGAGATGTGCCCCAAAAGCAAAACAAAACAGTTTAGTGAAGAGTGAGTATACTCAGTGAGCATTGAATGCTGGCTGACTGTTGGGGAGGGAATGGTAAACAGGAAAATGGAATGGAATGGAGTATCCTGGGAAAGGACCTACTTGGCATCCTCATCAATACAACTCTGTGCTGCAACATTTTGCTGCCACATCTTTGTATTGTTGGACGACTGTAGGCTGAGTTAACAAGGATTTAAGGACCACATCTGCATTTTAGCTCTCCTAAGTTTTAGCTAGGCTAGTTTTGGTTCTGTTTTATTACATTACACTGAAATCTTCTTGTCTGCCTCTTCTGAGGCTTAATGTTGGAAAGTCAATCTGGAATGCCCCATACTGCCTTCTAGGATGGCTAGGCAATCAGTAGAGAAGCCTGGGTGTTGCTTCATTTTTCTTTCCTCTCTTTTAAACAAGAGGAGAGAGCTTTTCAGCCCAGGGACTGAATCCCATTTTAGGGAAACTTTCTAAAGAGGGGAATCACATTCCAGCAGTATGCAGGGCCAGAGGCAAAAAGGACAGGTCCAAAGCCCCAAATTCCAGCATTTGTAAGTGTAAAACTCTTACCACTAAACCAAGCCTTGGGAAGGCATTTCAGCCTTTAAGAATGGGAGAAAAAACTGCACAGAAGCTGACTTAAACCACTGGATAATTGGCAGTTGGGGGAAAGAGGCAAGGCCTTCCAGGGACCCCCAGATTGGGACCCATTGAGGGCTGAATTTGGCCCTCTGGACAGAGGTTCTGCACTACAGTTTTACAAGAATCTCTCAGAAGAAATGAACATTCTGTACATTCACCAGCATGCTTGTTTTTCAGTGAGGTTCTCTGTTTTCTTTTCCATTGTGGGAAGTGTAGAAGTACACTGGCTATTGGGCTGCATTGCAAGGTTGCAGGGTATAAAACTAAATAAAAACAGCCACAAACCTCACATTTTCAGTAGGAAAGTGTAGGGTAGCAGGCTTTTTCTGCCAAGGAGTCATCACCCTGAAGTCTCATGTTGCCTGGAGAATGGGCTTGAAGGCAAATGATGTTGCCCAGTTCACGTGCCTGGCTCACGCTGCATTGTGTGCCACCAAGCATGTGTGGCAAACCAACCTGCCAGAGTACATGCAAACCAGCTTTTGGCTTAAGCAGATACACTAGTGCTCATATCTTTTTCTTATCAAGGGTAGCCTAGCAAAACTTAGGTTGAGATCTCCCATTCAGTTGATCCTGGGAGGAGGAGGAGGAGATGGTGGTGGTAGTGCTTTTGCAAGTATCATAAGACAAAGATTGTTCAGTGGTATTTGCAAAACATTTATAAGGGCCACATCACTGAATCAGCAGTATAAAAACTTCTGTAAGACTTCACACAGTGTCGCCTTCCAAAATTTCCACAAACAGATGGCATTTTTTTATTTGCTAGTAAAAAGCTGCAGGCATAGTCTGACCTAGATTTAAGCCTGCTGAAATCACTGAACTTAGGCATGCTTAACTCTCTTTATGGAGTGGCCTATTATTTTAGTGGTAATACATAACTGAGCACTAATGTCTGTCATAACTCAGCATCTTACTCTGGTCCTGTCCGTAATCTAGGTTGGGTTTTTTGTCTTCTGTCTTCCTTCTCCCCCCACCCCACCCCAGGGAGCCAAGGCATGTTTTCTTCGCGACATTCCCTTCTCTGCCATTTACTTCCCCTGTTACGCTCACATGAAATCTGCTCTTGCAAGTGAAGATGGGCAGGTAGGCCCTGGATCTTTGCTTCTGGCTGGAGCAATAGCTGGTAAGTAGCTGTTTTTTGTTTTCTGGAGGCCTCAAACACATGGGCCACTAGTGTTGTTTAAGCAGCATCCAGTTGGGTAAGGAACAGTGACATGGAACATGCAGTGCTGTCGTTCCAGTCACGCGGTTGCCACTGCACCCCCATGCAGGACCTCTGGTCAGAAGGCCAGCATTCTTCGCTTGCCTGACAGGGCTCCCCCAAAGCTCCCAGTGCAAGCTCATGCTGCTGGCATTGTTCTGGAGTTCCCTTCCATAAGCACAGTCTCAGCTGCATTAACGGAGTGACATTCCTCTGTACCGCCCATGGACTTCATCCAGCAATGGAATGCGTGTGCGGCAGGGGAGGAGGTTGGTAGACTGACGAATTGAGTATTCTGAACAAAGACTTAACATCTAGGCTGCATTCATTTATTTATCTGTTTATTTGTTTCTTATATTTATATAATGCTGAAGCATAATAAAATCCCTGAGTTGTTCACTAGCGTAACTAGATCAAAGCACCTGACTTTCATGGGCAACAACCTCAAATGCTCTGCTTATGCTAATACTCAGATGTCCTTGTGGGAATCCAGTATCCTTCTACATGAACTGTATCTAAAATCTAATACATTAGGGAACATAGCCATTACAGAGGTTTCTGAAATTATAGTGACACCATGTTTACCTTTGTATATCAAACTTTACAGTTATGAAATTGATAGACAGAATTTTTGAGCCAGATCAAATGAACTATGGAACTCTTTGCCACATGGTGCTATAGGAGAAAAGTAATATTAAATAGCGCCAGCTAACAGGTGCTGACAGTTGGTAGCATGGCTGGTTATTTGTGAGCCTCTCTCCAGCCTCTTTCGCCTTTTGTAAAAGGCCATTCAAAATTCTTAGCTCTTTAACAACTCTATGAAGCTCAGACCACCATCCTAACCTGCAACACTTGTTTTAATGAGTTTTGGCTTTTGAAAGTCTTGCTGAAACCCTTGATACCAAAATTGGAAGCAGAGTTGGACTCTGTTAGAAGGAGTCCTTAATCAATTACTCAGGTTGCCCTGGAACATGAGGTTTTGCAGGTCCTATAGGATAAGTATGAGACAAACTTCCTGCTGAAGATTGGTCTTATGGCACCAGTCCCCTCATGTATAGGTGGTGGACCCATTCAGGTTGTCCAATCTCAGAGGCTTATGGAATGTGGTGGATTCCTGACTGCTGGGAGAGGGGTCATTCCGTTGGCCAGAGCCAGCAGTTCTACTGTGGCACTTGTCATGGTGTGGAATGGCAAGGCATAAATGGCCATTGACACAGTTGCTCCCTCTTCAGCACTGTGGAATTCAGATGAACTCCTGGTTGACCAAGGAGATTTGAAGGATGAAGCAGGCTAAAAGGTGGCTGAAATGCAGAAGGTCATGAAGGTGCTTGGACACGTGCAAGAGCATATTATCACATCTGCTCTGTAGTAGAGAAGGTGGCCTACTTTGCAACCTCCACTGCATCCAGTTCAGGTGAGCTGGAATGGTCCAGCGGCTGTTTTCATTTACCACGTTGTATTCAGCATTGGAGGCTTATTTTTACAAGCTTGCTAGACACTCTGATCACCCACCTTCCTGCTGACTTGATTTATTGTTACAGTGACTGTTAGGCTGTCCAGTGCACAACTTTTGCCTTCTTTGTAATATCAATGTCCTAATATAGACAACATGCTTGTGAGCCACCACATGCTCTCTTGGCTTCTTTGAGTTACTCATAGGTGATAGGAGAATGATGAATCCATCACTGTGTGATGAGCTAGTACCAGCTGCCTTGGTGGTAATAAGAGCACTCCTGAAAAAGCCCTCTTTGGATGCAGTGGTTCATGTTCACTCTTGTTAGGTCACGACTAGCCCCTTTTGAATAAGGTGCTCAAGAGAGTGATGGTGTCCCAACTACAGATGCTCAAGAATGAAACTGTTTATCTGGATCCATACCAGACTGGGTTCATATTTGGTTCTGGGATATAATGGGCTTTGGTCATCCTGTGATGGCTGTGTTCATTCTCCTCAATTTGTTATCGACTTGATATTGTTATCTTCCTGGACCAGCATGGGGTAGGAGTTGCAGGCACACTTTTAATGTGGTTCAGCTCTTACATGCAGAGTCAACTCCAAAGAATAAACTAGGGTGACTTTATACCTCAGGCCCCAGGCAGTTAAACTGACATAATTTATTGCCAGTGTTGTTTGATATAGCTATGAAAACATAGAGAACAAGTGTGCTCTAATGATTAGAGTGTTGAACTGGGACTTAGGGAATTCAGATTCTAGTACCCATTTGGCCATGAAGCTCACCAGGTGACCATGGTCTAGTCACTGACTTTCAGTCTAACCTATCTCACAGTGTTCGTGTGGAATGTAAAAGTAATAATAACAACAATAAAATCGGGAGCAGCCATTAAAAGATTTGGGGCAAGGTGTCAACAGTAGACTACTGATGCCTAGCTCCATTACATCTGAATGTCGAGGGTATATGCACATTCTGAATGGGTGCCTGGATGCAGTTACAGGTCGGATAAGGGCTAATAAGCTGAAATGGTGATCAGTGGGTGGGCTGTGGGTGGGCACTTCACAGGTCCAGGAACTGGGGTAGTTGTCTGTTCTGGGTGGAACTGTACTCCCCCTGAAAGACCAAAACCATAGCTTAGGAGTGCTCCCGGATCCATCCTCCTCACTGAGGCCCAGGTTCCCTTAGTAAGTAGACTGCTGTAATGCAGGGATGTCCTTGGACCTGGTTTGGAAACTGCAGCTAGTGTGGACTCCCACAGCTGGGATGCTTCCTGGAGAGAGCAAGGATACTTCTATTCCACCCATTAAAAGAACTGCACTGGTTGCCTGTTAGCTACTGAGCCATGCTCCGGGTTTTGTTCTTGATGTCCAGGGCCCTCAACAATTCATAGCCAAGACACCTGGCAGATCCCTTTCACCTACTATAGAAGATCTTCCAAGGTGACCCTTATCAATTGTTCTGTGGCCAGCAGTGTGCCAGCAGACAATGGCACATAAGCAAGCCTCCTTGGCTGTGGTGTCTAGTCTCTGACTCACACTTTCTTGTGTTCAGTCAAGGGCCAGAAAATGTGGCGGGCTTTCAGTGCCTCTTGGAAATGCATTTCCTCATTCAAGCTTTCCCTGACTTGTTATGAGTCATGACACTGCTGGTTTTTTGCATGTCTTTACAATATGTATTTATTGCATTGCATTCTTCATTTGTTTTTATATAAAGGGCTTAGAAATCCTAAGATGTCAAAAGTATAGAAATATATACGTATGTGCATACGCTGCACATAAAATGTAGCCAGAAGCTTAAATCATGCTTCTGGGGCATAGTCATGTCTTCAAATTAGCATATATGTAAAGCAGTGCATTTGAAGTGCTGCATACAAAACTTATCCAAAAGGTGAGCCCCTATTATTATGACAGATTACAGAAATATACTGACTCTGAGACCGTCCGGTCTCTTTGGTGTGGAATGCAAAGCCCAACAGTAGGTGCTTCTTTTTCGTCCTGCTGAGAAGCAGCAAAAAGGTGGTCAGTATACAGAGTCACAGTTCAGAAATCACCTCCACTCACCCTCCCTGTGTTTTGGCTCTCACCCTCTACCCCAGAAGAAGCAGGCATTGAATGTTTTGACTTCTGTATTCCAGACAGAGAGTCTCAAAGCTGATTCCTTCTGCAGCAGCAGGCACTGACCCCCCTCCCCTTCAGTTCTTTCGGCTTTGGGCTTTGCTGCAAGAAACACGGAATGCTCTGGACAGCATTCTAGACAGTCTCTCTCACCTATTTTTCTCCTGACATGGTTTTGTACTCAACCTGTACAATCTAAAGAAGCCAAATGTACTATCTGAATATTCTGTGCAGCCAGGAAGTCTTTACCATTTCTTTATTACCCTAGATTATCTACTTCTGCTGCTGGTAGCTAGAGAGAGCCAAGCTTATCGTGTTCTCCTGTTTCATCCCTTGGCTTGAGAGAGCTAACCATACAGCTCGCTTTCTCCCAAGACTTGGAAGAGAATGCTTTACTCACATGCATTTGGGTGGGTAACAGTCCTAAGGGAATTCTTTCTCCACATTATGTACTTATTAATTAAGGAGGCCCCTTCCTTCAGATTGTGGTGTGTAGGCTTTTTATTTCCTGGATCATGAAGCCATGCTGATGGCTTTGGGCAGGCTAGTTCCTTTGCGCAGCAGGCAGGGTGCAAGTTGCTTAGTTGCTCCGGACAGGCAGCACCTTTCACCCTACACTAGCCCTGCCTAACATCAGGGGCAGAGCCCAGCAAGCCACCATGGCTGAATTTCTTCACAGGGCTTGCTGTTTTGTATTCTAAAAATTCATGCTGCAGCAGAAACAGCCTGTTTTTAGGGTTGCTGGTGCTTTGTTAACCGCCCCAACAAACAACTCTTGCTGGATCTGCAGGCAATGACAAGATGTGGCTTGAATGATAAATGGTATCTGGCACTGTGATGAGAAGGAAAATTCACCCATGGTGGTTCTTGTTACATACAAACCAACTCAGATCCAAAGCACAGCTCTGGAGAGTTCAGGGTCCATTAGAATCTATCCCTTAATTTGGAGGGCTGCTACCTAGCCGTCTGCAGTTGTGAATGCTGACCTGCAGGTAACAACAACCTGTTGAGATGCCTGGAACTTTAAATAGGGTGATGTCACAGATCACTGTATTATATTTCAAAGATCCCTGTGATTATTTCACAGATATTTCCATTAGGAGTATGGGCGCATGGCAGGATTGTTTTGGTTCTGCTGTGGTCTCTTATAACTGGGCACAGTCATGCTTCTAGGATGAAAATTTGGGTGCTTGATTTTAGCTAACAGTAATACAGAATTTCATTCCCTGATAAATAAGCACTGAAATATATTCAAATTTCAATTCTGCCTTTTAACCAAGAGCTGCACATTTACAAGATGATAGTAACACAATGCACTGTAATGCAGTACTCCACAAGTACCATGAAATGAAATGAATTTTTCACTTGTAAAAATGCCTTTGAAGAGGAAGACCAACTATGAGATGGACCAATTCCATAAAGCCTTGAGTTGCCAAGAACTGAGCAGGGTTGTGAAGGACAGGACATTCCTTGATAGGGCCCCCAAAAGTCGGAGATAATGTGACAGCATGAAACAGCAGCAACAACAGTGCACTTAGACTGAACAGCAATTGCTTCTTTAGCTTCTCTTCCTGTGAGGGTTTGCTGTGGGAATAAGTTGCCCCCAGTAGCTGCAGTTCTGCGCTATGTCAACCAAGTTTGCCTCTTAACTAGTACGTGGTATAATATGCTTCCTGGTGAGCTCCATGAGATGGTCTTCTGCATACATAAATCCAACCCAATACTTGCAGCTTGGCCTCTTGTACGACTCTTTGCTCCATGATGTCCAAACACTCATACTGTGTAATATCAATTTATGAATTCTATGAAAGAGAAATGGACATAAAATACATGTGGCAGGCAATTGTTTCAACAGTTCTGTTTAAAAATATCTGAACAAGCAAAGTAACTTTGTTCTTATTTTTCAAAATGCACAATATGGTTGAAAGAATATGGCTTTAAAGCTGGGTTGCTTGTAACCCAACATAATAGAACAAAACAGTTTTTGAGCTCTGCATCCTATCTATATGTGAAACCTAAACCTGTATGTTAAGCCAAGTCATTTCTTAGGTTTTCAAATTTTTCTTTCTCTAGCCATTGTTAAGCGATTGCAGACTGTGATAAGTGTCTCTTTGAAGTTCAGCCACAGAAGCAGTCTCTTTTTATCCAGACATGCCCATAGAGGCTAGCAAATGCACAATAATGTGGATTTTATCCTGCATTTTTACTATATTTCCATTTCAGGCTATCTTCCTTTAGTCAATTACTGTTCGGGGCAACAAAATGATTTTCTTATTTTGAGAATAGCATTGAGAGGGTTGGAAAGAGTGCTCAATACTTAGGAAAGCAAGAGCAGTATTATTGGCCTAAAAGAAAGTAAAGTGATACAGCAAGGGGAAAAATTAAGTTTTATCATGTACAATTTATATGTGCATGTAGATAAATGGTAACCTTCTAAGCTTTCATGGCTGCTAGCAATGGTGGGAGAAATTTCAACACTTGATTTGGGATTGTTACTTTCATGCAGTTTGAATTTTCTGTATGATACCTGCTTGCAACCTGTGTTGGTTGGCGCATTTAATTCAGCTGAGAGTGCCAAGGCCATTGTAGTGAAAAATACTCTGAAGAGTCCTGGGTCATAATTTTAGAAGCCCTGCAGATAGTCGTACTCAGAACATACACATCATCTGGAAAATATGTGGGAATTGCATCCCAGAGTTACAGGCTAGTTCACACATGCCAGTGCCCCAAGGGCATTGGAGGAGTTCAGGGCCAGACCACACTCGCATGGAGCCACCACTTCTGTGAACCGGCTGCTCACATGGGGCCTGTCTAGCTGTGAAAGTCCCACGTCAGTGGATTGTAGCCTGAGGTGATATGGATCACTACTTTAAGGAAACTGTGTAGGAGAGCCTTCCTGTGCCAAGCTTCCAAATGTGAAAGTTCATGTGGTGTTTTTCCCTCCCTTTCTATTTTTTTTAATGGCTTTTGGAAAAGGTGGAGCAGTTCCTATTTTAGTGATAAACACACATTTTTACATCTCTTTCAAAGCAGTCTACTAAAAAGTGAGATGGTGTTCTGGAGCCAGACCACAATGGTTTGGACAAAAACTGTTACAGAATTATTAAGCTTTAGAAGGAAGAAGAAGAAAAAAAGTGAAAGAGATTTATGCATCTGTGTCTGACCAAGCTGGTTTGGAACTGATGCAGAATGGAAAAGCAATAAAATAAGAAGAGACACTGTTTTCTGAATACAGTCTCACTTTATTTTTGCTGTTTTTTCAGTTTTCTTAAAATCTAAACAGAGATGATTTCACTGGATTTACTTTAAAAAAATGTTGCTTGGAATCTTACAACCAGAGGTGTACACTGTCCTAGTACACAATTAATGTTTTTGCAGATTTTGCCCTTTAAATGATAATTCACTATTTCTTGCTTTCTATTGTTTATCAGCCAGCATCAATCTCTCAAAAAGATTTTGCTGACAATATTAGACACTGAAAGATATGCACAGGCGAGAAGGAAAGCAAACTTTACTGTTTCAGTATTGTGTTGTGTTGTGTTTTTAAAGATTATGCACAACTTGTACCTGTCTGTCTATTTTGATTTTAGTGAGATCTTTCCTAGGATGTAGACCTTGAAACAGGAGGCAGAATAGAGAGAAATGCCTAGATTTCCAGTGTTCTGTGTAGAAGGGCAAATGCCAGAAACCACAAAGGAACTGACTTTTGCCTCCAGAAAGCGAACTCAGACACTCTACCAGCTTGGGACATTTTATTGAATACTTCTGTTTGCCTCCCAACTTGAAATGAAAATAAGGCCAAGCTGTCCATCTTACCAGGAGCCTAGCACACCTGGGGCAAGGAAATGCAATTTTGCTTTTTTCCCCTCCCCTTCTCACCAGCCCTTTTCTCTTGGTTGAGACAAAAATTCACAGAGCTCAGCTGAAATAGCATTTGGATGGGGGAGTAAAGTACAGTTCTTCTGCTTTACAGTGCAAGTAAAAGATAACACTTGAACACTCCCTCAACTTAAAAAAATCAAGAATGCTCCCTGCATATTACAAAATAACATGTCGGGCCAAAAGCTGGCCTAGAGTCATCTTCTAACATGCTAGCTTTCATTAGGTAAGGAGTGTCTTGAAATCCTGGAGCATGCAAATATGCAGTCCTTTCCCCTACCCAAACATTCTGCAATGGTATGGTCTTTGGTACAGCCACAAGGCTATCTGTGTCTCTCTTCTGCAGAATTTGCAGAGCAGCTTTCTTGATGGTTGCTTGAGGAATTCCTCAAATTTCAGACACCTTCAGAATCGCTGCAAGATTTTCTTACTTGGGCCTGAAGTTGGTGGTTGTCATGGCATTTTTAGGGGACTATAGTTTCATCATGAGTTCTTATAAAAATCTGAATGTAATGGTTTTATTGCAAATAGAAATTCTTTATTTACAGTGTGCTGTTAGCTGCTGAGCTGAGTCAGGTAGAAATGTTCATAAGTGTGCATAAAAGTAACTTGCAAGTTGGCCATTCTCCAATGTAACCTGATTCTTCTCCTTTCCTCCTCCTCCAGGAATGCCTGCTGCTTCTTTAGTGACCCCTGCAGATGTCATCAAGACAAGGTTACAGGTGGCAGCCCGTGCAGGACAAACAACCTATTCTGGTGTTATTGACTGTTTTGGGAAGATCCTACGAGAGGAAGGTCCACGGGCTTTTTGGAAAGGAGCTGCAGGTTATCTTTGAGAATAGTTCTGTCAATAATGGATGGTTCATAGAAGCCTGCATGTTGGTAGAAGGCTAATGGTGCTTTCAATTTCCCTTCCAGCTCGTGTATTTCGCTCCTCTCCTCAATTTGGTGTGACCCTGGTGACTTACGAACTGCTGCAGAGGTGGTTTTACATTGATTTTGGAGGAGTGTAAGTATGCAGGATTGACCACTTTGATGCTGAAGTAGTTGCAAAGTGTGTGTGTGCATGTATGTAGCCAACTGTACAGTAGGGAAGAGGGGGAAAGGGTGAATCCAAGTTCTTTCTCAATATTAAACAATAGCATAGCATAATGACCAGGAGAGAGGGAAGGTACCAGCTTGCATGTGGTTGCTCCCAAGCCAGCAGAGAAGGCTCTGCTTTCTCAGGAACTGATTCTTCTCAGGAACTAATACTGAGTCTGAAAGAGATTTGAAGTTAAAACTGTGCAATCATGATTTCTTTTCTTTTCAACTGAAAACCTGACTTTTGTTTCTAATATTTGCAGAAAACCAGCAGGGTCTGAACCAGTTCTGAAATCCAGGATCACCTTGCCTGCACCAAATCCTGACCACGTTGGGGGTTACAAACTGGCTGTTGCTACGTTTGCAGGGATTGAAAATAAATTTGGACTTTACCTACCTCGGTTTAGGCCCTCACCACCTACCTCACAGGCAACATCTGCTTGATCTAACAGCAAAACCCTGCTTTTACTGAGTATTGGGGAAAGAGCCACATGTCTGATCAGCCTCACTGTTTCCTTCCTCTACAGAGCACTGCTATGCCTGCTTGAGCAGAAAGAAGTCCTGGAGCTCTCAGCAAAACATCCTACAGCCATACTGGGAATCCTGGGACTTCTTTCTGTCCAAGCATGCCTAGGATTGCACCATTAGTTTTCCTATCTCAACCAAACGTCATTGAATCTATCGGTCTTTTCTCTTCCCCTCTTATCTACTTTCAATGTAATCATTGTTCTTTGTGCTTCCTAAATTGGATCACTGTGAAACTCTTGCTTAACTAGTCTTACTGATTTGGGTCCATGAATGTACTTTTTTCTACTTGCACATACCTGAGATTGTGAATATACTTGCGCTGGTTTGGGAAACACATTCATACATTATTATTTTTCTTCTTCTTGGGGAATTTGGTGGTGGCCAGGCAGGGAAAGCTGTTGAAATATAACCAGCTGGCATTCAGCACCAGATGCTGGTGCTCAGTGCAGAATGGGTTGCAGAGCATCTGAGTGAGAATTGCTTACTCATTCAGCCTTTGCCTGTACAAAGGACTCAAAGGCGATCAATGTGGGCAGTACCTGATTCTGCCCAGTGTGACTGTATTTTACATATGTACACGCACAAGTTGCATTCCTGGGTTGCATTATGAGGCTTTTATGGGGAACATGTTTTTGTAACTTAAACCAGATCAACAAATGTTTAGCAATTATATTCTGTTCCTGGTATCAGAATGCTTGTGGGGTGGGGAGAGAAATGTAATTTTCCATAGTCTGTGCACTTTATGGAAGAACGTCTGAGCATCTTATTATCCACAATGAAATTTAAATTCCAGGGGTATGAGCCATTGGAAGGCATAACTGTACATCCTCCAACCTTTTCAGTGATATTTTTCTTGAAGCTGCTGCATGTCCCCCATCACCATGAATGGAGGCTGCACTGAAAGGGTCCTGACTCTTAGCCCTGCTGATATTTGGGTTCTTGTTTTATGTTATGCACTTAGAGTAACTGCGCTTGTTTAAATAAATGCAATAGAAAAAAAATCCATGCACTGTACCTGCCTTAACTGCCAGCTTGTAATTGGGAAAATATTTGTGTGGAAATTCTTCTTAACTTTGTTGAATTAAAAAAGAGATTTTTTAAAATAAACAGAATTTTGCCTATATTTGTAGGTACCACGGGAATGTTCCACTCAGTCCCCTGTGCATGAAAGTACATGTAGCTCTATGTATATTTCTGGGGTTTGGGCTGAGATGCAGAGTAGCACTCACTGGATGGAGGTCGTATGGGATTGAATAAATTCCATTGCTTTTTATGATGCTGTCAGGCATGAACACGGTATTCCTTTTTTTTTTAATTATGGTGTTTCCATATGAATGTCTGTAATCAAGAATACAACCCCAAGATGCAGTGTGTATTTTTTGTTTTTTGTTTTCTAAAATAAAACTGGAATTTGTAACTGTTTTGGATACTTCAGCAAGTACTCCAATGAGGTTTCTCCCATCCCTTCAGATTGTGAAATACGAGCAGTGCTTAAGTGATGTAAACATGTCAAATTATTGTCCCCAAAACTACTCACGGAAGTCCATCCCATCATCTCTTCCAAGGCAGCCCTTCTAAAATGGTGGTATGGGACCCCTCCAGAAGTGCATTCATTTGGAACCACTACAGTCCTCTGGTCCCAAATCTCAATCTTCCCCACTCCAGGGGAAGTGCAAAAGGCCTGATCTTGCAAGCCGCCTCAGTACTTCTCCATAACATTAGAGACCATAAAATGTTGTGCTTTTTATAACAGATTATAAGTAATATGCTTTGATATTTTGAGAGAGAGAGAGAGAGAGAGAGAGAGAGAGAGAGAG